CTTATTTTTGAGCCGAGAGTAGAATAGCTTCGCTTATGTAAAATCTAGTAAGTTGGTATTGTAGTCAGTAATTTAGGTTCGATTTCATCAATTTATATTAAGTTTTTTGGTAATAGATATTGGTTATCGTTTGGTGATCTGACAGTAACTAGGGACTTTGTATTTGATCTGAGGGGGGGCCCCTATAGATCGCGGGGCCCTGGGCACTTGCCCAAAGTGCCCACTGGGAAAGAGGGGTCAGCCTATACCAAAAAAACAACTTAGACACAACTTCATTTCAGCTGCACGAGTTTTTTTGCTGCACTGCACATTCTAAGTGACATTTGCATGGCCGTTAAAACTTACCACGTATTTTTTATCGTTAGATAAACCGGTTATTCCGACCTTGTTTTGCTATCTACAAACAATGTACTCGCAATGGATTGCTATAGCATAGCACAGAGAACATAAATGATCAGTGTTTCCACTTAAATAATTTCCTTTCCCCATGCCTCAATTTAGATTTCCCCTTCTTAGGTCATTTTTCCCCACAAAAAATATTCTGCTGTAGTTTTTAGATTTGGCACTAATGTAGTAACTGAAGAAAAAAAAAGGTTGCTACCTTGAGGTATTTAAGAATGGTGATAAACCTTGATTTTGGTAACAGACAGGGGCTACTTCTTATAATAAAAATTGAATTAGGTGCAACGGTGCAAGGTGATATAGAGAGTACAAGTTTGTATGTGAAACTTACAATTTATTATGTAAAATAAGTCACTTTTATGTGATTCATAATTTTAGAAGTTTGTATAGTATGTTCTTTCCGGTTGACTGGTAGAGAATGCCATATTGGCATTAAGTCCGCCATTTGCAGTGTAAAGGCAATAAAGATTAAATAAATAAAATAGTTATCAACTACGTTTATAGTTCTTCTAACGTCGTATTTACGCCGTCACATACATAGATAAATAATATATGGTTTGACATCCGTCACTTAAGGATTTTCCCTATTTTTTTTTAATAAACGAAACACATCTTTAAAAATGGTCTTAATTTCATAAAACATTAAAATAAATATGTAATAATTGTTATTCTAAATTTAAGAAAACTTTTGTAATTTATGGTTAGTCCATGCCCAAATTTAAATTTTAATGCGCCAACACTGAGACTCGCGGCGTTTTTGGAAGTACGACCTGGAAACATTACTTTTCGGTTCTTTGCAGACACGAACAGTCACTTTTAAAAATGTGAAATATAATATTAATTTATAGTTCGGTTTCTTTTTTCAAAAATGCGCTCACCGCATTAATGTGAATTAATATAGGTGCCAATGGCCCTTTAGTAAAACTTTAAAAGAGCTGCGATTGCAGCTCTTTATCTTGTCTTTATACTCTTTAGCTTCATCTTTAATTTTAATGATATCATAAATATCATTTTGATATCCTTGACCATGGACCAGCCATAATAGTCTAAGTAAAACCAATACTTAATGTACTTTGACGCCTGGAATCCAATCTGGTATGTACGCTTTCACAATAAATAATTGAAGAGGAAAACACCTTTATCATTCAACCCTAGTCAAAACTGGACTTGAGATTAAAGGCCGATGTTCCCGTAAGTTATTCCGGACACCTGGAGATATCACCAGCTTCCCGGCGCCCGTTACAACTCTCACTTTAAATGGAAGCTGAGAAGCTAAAATCGGCTACCATCAACCGGCCTTCTCCAGCCTTTTTCGTTCTTTTTTTGAAATAACTAACTAGTACACAAGTTTTTTTTATTTTTTTACCTTACATTCTGTCTATTATTTAGTAACTTTGTTCAAGAGAAACCTAAATTAGATTTAAAGGTGAGGCAATCGTAAATCAGGCCATTTACGATTTGCTTCCCCTTTCCCACCACCGGGGGGCCATTTGCCTAACGGGATTGCTTTGGTAAACGCTATCGCTTACGATTTCATTTTGTTATTTCTGACTGCTGAAGGTTCTCAAATACCTCAGACTCATTTTCTTAAAATTGTTATTAACAATGCAAAAGAAAAAAAAGAGCGGAAGGTATTTGAAAACCTCAGATGGCTAGACAAAATGAAATCGTAAGTGATAGCGTTTTCCAAAGCAATCTGGTTAGGCGATTGGCACCCAGAGGGCACCAGATTTGTAAATATAAATAACTAACTCTCAAAATACGACTACTGTTGGCCTTTCTATAAATTAAAATTTAATATGACCCTATTCAAATATTCTCATGCCACAATAACATTTGATTGCTGGCCTGTATTCGGTACAGGAACGACATTACTCAAATTCAGGCACTCTAAGCAATATCTACACTGGAATACGGGCTGGAAGACTGTGTCAGGTAAACAAAAAGAAATCTACCAGAATATGGGAGTACTCGACTTCATTCATTTAGACTGTCGTTTAGTCAAATTCTCTTTGTATGGCACTCGTATTTGGGCTAATGAGCAAGTGTAATAGCGCATTTTGTTTATAATACAGGTATTTCTGACAGCCCTCTGTGCAGAGCCTGCCTGGAGGAGGATGAGACGAGCGCCCATGTCCTACTGGAGTGCAGGGGCGTTGCAAGACAAAGGACTTCTCTAATGGGAAGCTCAAAGACAATAGTAGAGGCCTGCAGCAACATTCGGGGAGTGCTGAGCTTTCTGGAGGAGGTGGGATGGCAGGACTGATGTCAATCCCCACGCAAAATAGGCACTGGGTGTCCAGTTGCGGAAACAACCCGCCGTACTACTAAGACTAAACTGAAGTGTAATAGCGCAATTTATTAATCAAATCTAATGCAATGTAAATAAAATTACACTAATCATTTTACTCAATAAGTAAATGCTATATTGTTATTTAATAGAAATAAAGTTCTTCAGTCATTATTTTTATAGCTAAGATTAACAGACATATTAAATTTTATTACTTTTGAAAACGTTCACATTGGCAAAAAATGGATTTGATTATTTCAGCTTACTGCTTTGAACTTAAGAACAGTAAAATATATATTGAGTTTTTGTTGTATAAATAAATCAATAATAAGTTATTTTTACTCCATGTATACCCATTACCTTTTAAAAAGAAATCTCCATGTATAACCATGTTAAACCGATAAATTATAATTTATTGTTTTATCCCAAAAATAAACAATTCCTTTTATTTGGAACATAACTTAAGTTCACCCATCAGGCTGCTAATGTACCAGGGCATCATAGCCATCTAGAATGTAGGTGGACAAACCACAGGTGTAACCGAATCGAATGCGGAAGGCGATCAATACGAATACACAATGAGCACCGAGAGTATCTCCTTCGGGGTCGGCTAATCCCGAAGAGAAATCACGGACGCACGCTTCTAATTCTAATTACATACATTGAATTAGTGACGCAAGGATGTAATTGGATTTCTAATTACAAATAGCGTGTAACGGCAACCACACGCCACATATTGTTTACTCATATAAAAGTGTCTTCGAAATGTAAACAAAGACGTATGTTGATGATCCGAAACTGCGCAATATTCGCAAACCAAAAAGTTTTATTAGCTAGTTCGATATACGTTCAACGTATTTTCACACTGTGATGTCGACAGCCTTGATAAAACTAGTAATACGTGTTTCGTCACGCATTGTTTTCATTCGTATTTATTTTATAAACAATACACAACTCACCGCTTAGATCTTCGAGTGTGTTGAGCTTTCGGGCTGCCATTCTGATAAAACAACACAACCACAACACTTATTGTCAGTTTTCGATAAAATTCACTTTTGTAAAGAAATAAAATTTAAAGTTTATTTGGCTTCGCAAAACACGACAACCTAGCCGATGTACACAAACGCCTTTGTCTTTTGTTTTGATTTTTATCCGCTTGAAGAAGAGGGGGGCGCGCAAATCGCTGTAAACAAAACACAACTCTATGAGTGCACTCGATGGCACCCTATTGTAACGGAATAAAGTGTAAAGTGAAAATTATAGATATAATAAAATGTATACGCTGCGTTGTTTACAAGAGACTGGATTGGTTAACGTTCACACTTTTTTATCCAATCACGTACCAACGTGAGAATAACTTGCAACCATCATTGGTCAATGGATTGTTCAAATAAAAATAAACTAACAATGTTGCCATGCTATAAAATGTTTTTATTATTGGCTCTTTCATTTTGTCTATGGCTGGTCAATGCACGAAAGATAAAGGTCGATGAACTCATTTTACCTACCTATCTTTTTAGGTGTATTCCGAAATATACACCAGTACGCTGGCCAGCGGTAATGACGTCATGATTTCGACGCCACATTGCACTGGTGTAGTTGTAGTGTTGTCAATATGGCGTCGAAATCATGACGTCATTACCGCTGGCCAGCGTACTGCTGGTGTATATTTCGGAATATAGCCTTAAAATTCCAAACAGGCTCTAATTAATTTAATTAAAAATATAACTTTTTACTACTTATTTCGATATTACCTATATCGAAAAAGGAACCTTATTTTTAATCACATATCTCACATCAAAATAGTTGCTTTTAAACAGAAATTGGTGCACTTTTGATTCGTATCATGGTTCGTGGGAACCGCTACTTTCTGATAGTTATAAAAGTAATATACATTTAACCTTGTTAAATTTTTCTTAAATGCAAACAGTTAAATTAAAAAATAACATCAAGTACTTAACGTATTTTGACCTTATATTTTGACGCTTTATACGTTGTAAAAGCCTTATGTTTACAGAATTTACCGGTTCTCGTAATGTCGGTAAAAGATTTAATATTATTACTAATGTTATATAAGTTTAGTATTAAAATATTTTTTGTCACTTTTCCTTTTTGAAGAAAACCGAAGTGAAGTTAGGCATTTTTTTATGTGATGTGGCAACACAAGAAAAAAAAAATCAAGCATGCATTTTGGTTTTTAGCAAAATAGGAAAAAGGTCCCCGTCAAGCCTTCAAACTGCAACGATTTCAGTTCAACGTTTGCATTAATTTCTTGTGTGATTTTTAACTTTATCAATAAATAAATATCATGAGCGAAACTCATGCTGAAGAAGAGGTACAAGTAGCCGCAGAAGAATCGGATTGTCCTCGGTAATAAATCATTCTGATATTATTTCGAATAAACACCTGTTCGCTATGACAGCTGATTGTAAGCGGGAAAGTCAAAAGGCGCGAATTGAGTGCAGTGTCAGATTTTGCTGTATTTTTGTAATTTTGGAGCTGTATTTGTCGTAAATAGTGTAATTTTCACAGGAAAAGGGCGAGACTAGATAATTCTTCCAAAAAGAGTTGGAGTTTGATGGACAGAAGAACGGATCAAGAGGTGAGTTGTCATGATTCCCGCTTTTTTTCGTGGTACGCCACAACATTTTGGTTGGTTATAATTTGCATTCGTGGGTCGTAAGCATTATAAATAGATCCAGATCTATTTACGAAGTCTGCTGTAAGTTATTCGGTAATTTTTATAAGGAAATATTATTTTTATGGCATTTTAAAAAATATTTGAACAGGTATAAGTGCATGTATTGTGTTGTGCAGTCCCCTTGTAAGCACAAATATCCTTAGGTCATCAAGCAGACTAGACAAATGCCTCCTTCCTATACAAACCAGTTAATCTAGTAATGAAATAACAAAATAGCCAAAAGCATGATATTTACAGGTGACATTAGTAGGACCACAATCAATCAATTTTACATTTTCAGAATCAACATCAATAATGTTGTTATACCGTGTTGATGATCATAGCAATTATTTATTTATTCTCCATTTAAAACTACTGATTTATTATCTTTATGGCAAAACTGCAGGTCTGCCCAGTCCGTTGCTAGTAGTTACATTGTGTTTTCTGTCTGACATCTTAGGATATATATATGTCTTTTAATACAGGTGTTGCAGGAGATGGGTGTTAGTTTACTCGAGCCTGATGATCATGAAGGACAGTGTGAAACAAATGTTCCGTCAACTGTGGTGAGTTAGTTCCTGAAAACCCTTGGATCATAAGCGGAGACTAATTAAATTAATCTTAATTATGTGTTGACTTTTGACTTTAACAGAAGTAGCAACATTTACATTTAACATTTAACAATAATTTCACTACAAATATAATAAATTAGGGACAATAATAGGGTTGATCACTAACTTTGATAATACAGTAAAAGTATTGGATACCAAATTGTGGAGCGCTGGTTCTTTGTAATTTTTTGGTTGATTGATAAAAAAACCAGTGCCCATTATTTTATGATAATGCAACTGATAGATTCAATAAAAAATCGGTTACTTTACCCAGTTGTCATCGCTATTATATGTAATACTTTTTTAGAATAAAAAAATGACTGTCAGAAACAGAAAGAGCTAGGCTTTTAATAACATTATTGTTCTGCTATCTTCATTTATTTCATACATTTTTTGTAGCACCATAAAGCTTTGAAGAGGAAGCGTGACATTGAGAATGTAAACCCGAACGTGATAGTGACTTCACCATTCAGCCCTAAAAGCCCCCGGGGCAAGATTTGCAGCCCCAGTCCAGGGCCTTCGAGGATTAAGAGCCCAAAAAGTGCTGAGAAAAGTAAGTTCTTAGTAATTAAACGCAAGTAAGAGATATAATAATAATAATTTCTTTATTTCTTCTCTCACATAACAATACATCATTTATTTTAACCTTAATACTTAAATCTAGTTATATGAGAGACTGGCGTCTGTACTAGGAGACCTGTATTACAGATTACCAGTCTCTCCACCTCTGAACCGTCTATAAGGAACTCAAATAATATTAGTTCCTAAGTGAAATACATAAACATAAATATGAGAAAAAAAAAAACAAAAAGAGGTAGTGTGTTTGTGTGGGTGTATGTGATTGTGTGAGTGTGTGTGTGCGTGTATGTATTGTGTTGTTTAATAAAGTGATTAATTGTGTAATTAAGATTTTGTAGTATGAGTGCGTCTCTGTTTGTTGTTGTACGTACAAGTGAAAAATATGTTTATATGATGTTAAGTACCTTTCACGAGATGACAGAAAAGAGTTTTTCTGTTAATTATCAGCTGATGAAGACTGACTTTAAAAACAAAAACAATATTTCTCATAAAGTCCTTTTTCATGCATTATTCTGTGTGTATTTATCACAATAATTCTTATTTATTTGGTCTGATAGTTTATGCCAAATTGGAAATAGTATTAGCTATGGGCAGTAATAGCTATTTTTATCATCACAGATCTAAAAGTGTAACAGTATGGCACTAAGTTATCTTCTCAAATTGTGGTGCCTGTTTGGGGAAAAGCCCTCCACCTTACAGAAAACAGCCAAATAACATTATCATAATATAAGTTTCTATATTGAATGAGACTGCTTCATTAAATATATTATTGGTCTTCCGGGTCGCACCCGTTTCAAAATACCCAGTTTTAAGACAGAACCTTAAACCAATACAGTGGAAAAACAGAAGTGTTTTTAAAGTGATGTAAAAGTGTGAGAAAATTGTTTACTTAATTTAAGTGTTTTCATTTAATTTTTAAAGCATGTAACTGCTTGATGTTTAAATCAAGTTATATATTCTTTAGATTTAAACATGAAGCAGTTACGTGCTTAAAAAATAAAAATAATGACTATAATTGCTATTTCTTGTTTCAAATGTAAAAGTTAATATTTGTAAAAGTATTCATTTGACATTGTGGGTTACCTACAATGCGAAGAAATGGCGCTGCCTTGCAGCTTAAGAAAGGCTAGAAAGAATTGGATACGGCCGTCAGGGCCGCGGTAGCATAATTGATCAGTGCATTCGCCCGGATAGCGAAGGGTGTGGGTTCGAATCCCGTCTGCTGCCAGGTCGACGTGGATTTTTTTCTAGTAATATAAACATTAATTATTTACAATACATTTCTTTCTGTTGCCAATTCTTCACCCAGTATTAGAATATACTAGCAAACCAGTGAACCAAATGTTCACCAAAACCTGATTTAAAAAAAAAATGTATTTAATTAATTGAGAACTTCGGAGATTTTGTGTGGTTTCGTTTGAAATTTGTAATTTCTCGAAAACCGGAAGTGCTACGTTACTCAAATCCGGTTTGTAGTCTTATCAGACTATTCTTAACTTATAACTTAAATATTCTCTTTATCTATCTCTTACGGTTTGGCCGCTGAAACAGCACCACAGACGGACGGACGAACGGACTTGTCTAATAGATAAGAGATTTTTATAAAATATATTTATTTTTAATATTTCCTTTTTTGCGGTAACACCATAGAAAAAGCCAAGGCCCTGCCTACCGATCTTCTGATTTCTTGGTAACTCTACACTAAACGCGCTCAACATACCCCCCAACACTAAATAGCTGGCATTTGTGTAGAGACAAGCCGATATTGCCCCGACCGCCGTGCAACCTGGATTATAAATAAATAAATATTTACAATACTCACACCAATTAGCCTAGCCCCAAAGTAAGCGCTGTAAGGCTTGTGTTATGGGATGCTAGGGTAACGGATAGAATACATTAGTCCAGTCGGAATAGCCATAATTTGGACCGACTTCTATTCTAAGACACCAGCGCTTAGCCAATTTTTTCCTAGGTAGTATAGACCCCCACGAATATGCCCTCCATTTGTCCCCGCTAGAACCCGTGTTTTGTAGCCAGGAAAATTGTTTAAACAAAGAAAAACCGGTTTTTGAAGTTATACTTCTTTAGGCGCGTTATGAAAAAATGATGAGAGTGAAATTTTAACTGTAACACAAAAAATTAACAGCATGAAGTTGGTCGCTAAAGCGACCAACTTCATGCTGTTACTTTTGTGTTTACCGCACATTAAGAAAATCTACCAACAAAATAGAAATAGAATCTCTATTTAGTGGGTGCTAACGACTGCATTGTGAAGGCCTATCAAAAGTATTTATTAATCTGGAACAAGGGAACCAAAGCGCGATTCAGGAGACTACAGCGCCATCTCTTGACCATTGGTGTAGTAGAACCAAAAACCACATCTTTATTTTTTGTAATAAAGTAACAAAAAGTATTTATTAATCTGGAACAACGGAACCAAAGCGCGATTCAGGAGACTACAGCGCCATCTCTTGACCATTGGTGTAGTAGAACCAAAAACCACATCTTTATTTTTTGTAATAAAGTAACAGTTATAGGTATTCATATTTATAATATTTATCCACATGTTTCTAGTTTGTATATTCGGAATACGTGTTTGAGTTTCATACAAGTGCAAATCACATATGTTCTAATAAATTATATTCAGTAGCGATTTTAATTGAATATTTTGATTATTTATTTATTTTTTCAAATTAAAACTGAACTTTATTGACTGTGTCCTTTTCCAGACTTTTTATTAATTTATTGTAATTAATTATTTGCATGCAATTAAAAACTAATTTTAAACGATGCCAAAGAAGGATAACTTCTCACGCGCCTACATAAGTACACGCACCCATTTTTTTTTGAGTTTTTTTGCTTGTAAACGGGGATTTTGAAAATTTTTTGAATCAAAGTTGTTCATTAGCTTGGCCTCTACAAAATCAGTTCTATGAAAAAATAACGTGAGATTGTTAGTTTAGCAGTAAATTGCAATTATGTCGGTTTTACGTTTGCAACAATTCAACATGTTATAATAAACATTTTGATTTCTAAAGTAGTTTATCATGTGGGTAACGCCACTCCCAAGAGAGTCATGTAAAATTTATCGACCTGTGTCGCAAACCTTAGCAACAATTCTCAATCTCCGAAAAAAAAGTACTTGCCTGTCCCGTCTTTCCCAGAAGGCGCACAGCGGGAAAAAAATTCAGGTGATTCGATTCACCCAGAATTTTGAGGAATCGATCGAGTAGAAAAAAATCGTTAGTAAAAATGTTCGTTTTTGGACGATTTAAATTTTTTTTAAAAATTGACGTAGAATAATTTTTTGTTTTAAACTAATGTATTTTTCTCTCCTCAACTCGAATATACTATTCTGAATATACATATATATAATATATATATATAATACTAATATACCCTGAGAATTCCGATTATGAACCGGAAGAAAAAAGGACGAAATTAATTTAATTAGAAATATAGAATACAACGCAGTCTTGTAATCGAATTTTAGTTAATAGTTTTGTAAATAATTTCTGTACATAAATAAACTGAATTTTTAAAATTTTCAATCGTATATTCGAGTTGAGGAGAGAAAAATACATTAGTTTAAAATAAAAATTAAATCGTCCAAAAACGAACATTTTTATTAACGATTTTTTTCTACTCGATCGATTCCTCAAAATTCTTGGTGAATCGAATCACCTGAATTTTTTCCCCGCTGTGCGCCTTCTGGGAAAGACGGGACAGGCAAATACTTTTTTTCGGAGATTGAGAATTGTTGCTAAAGTTTGCGATAAATTTTACATGACTCTCTTGGGAGTGGCGTTACCCACATGATAAACTATTTTAGAAATCAAAATGTTTATTATAACATGTTGAATTGTTGCAAACGTAAAACCGACATAATTGCAATTTACTGCTAAACTAACAATCTCACGTTATTTTTTCATAGAACTGATTTTGTAGAGGGCAAGCTAATGAACAACTTTGATTCAAAAAAATTTTCAAAATCCCCGTTTACAAGCAAAAAATCTCAAAAAAACCGGTTTTTCTTTGTTTAAACAATTTTCCTGGCTACAAAACACGGGTTCTAGCGGGGACAAATGGAGGGCATATTCGTGGGGGTCTATACTATCTAGGAAAAAATTGGCTAAGCGCTGGTGTCTTAGAATAGGTCTCATGTTTATTCCGACTGGACTACATATACTCTACATATATAAGTATATTTATTATAAATTAAATAATATTATAAACATCCGTGACTGGAGTACAAATGCTCGTATTCATCACACAAACATCTGCCCCCACCGGGATTCGAACCCGGGACCTCTCGAGTCGGCGACACCATGAAACCCGGCGTACAAACCACTCGACCACGGAGGTCGTCGTCGACCTAGATTGTCACTGCGGCAGACATGTCAGTAGGCGCTTTTACATTGTATCCTTTGACGTTTTAATGGCATGTGACGTCAATGACATACAAGTTCTACGCCATAATGTTTAGAAACGTTTTCGCGGCAACTTGAAAATGGATTTTTTTGCTTAAGTTTTTTTAAATGAAATACACAACGGAATGATGAATATCCACATTTTATGGACTCCGTAAACATTAGTGAATAACGTGACATCGTTTACTAAAACATGCCAAATAGCCTATTATTGAATTAATTCTTCCGACTAGTTTCTCGAAATTTGTTACTAATAAGATATTTAGTGAATTCCTTTTGCACTACCTTCTTAAGATCTTTGCTATAATTCTCCGGTTGACTGGTAGAGAATGCCTAATAGCATTAAGTCTGCCTTTTGTACACTCATTTGTGCAATAAAGTATAAATGGTAAAACTGTACTTCCAGGGCCCAAAAAAAAATCAAGTATCACCTATACTTGAATTTTTTTTGTAGAAAAGGCCTTTTTAACAGTTTTTTTTTCTGGCACTTCGCCGGCCGCTGCCGCGGCACGCTCGCTTTGCTCGCTCGGCTCGCGCGTTATGGTCTCAACACTAACCTAACCTAACCTAGTGTGAAATATCACCACTTGGGCCCTGGAAGTACAGTTTAGCCGCAATAAATAAATATTTTTTAAGGTAAACCTCTACAATGTACTGATCAGCAAATCTTGGAGACTAGCTTTGTGGATGAATATCTGATTGATGAAGAGACTCCACTGGCTCAAGTGAGCTCGTACATGCCTTTGGCACAAATGGGACAATCGAAGCGACGTTGTGTCACGCGTAAGTATTAATGTCGCTCACAGGCCACCGACCACAACCACAAAACGCCGCCACCGGCATATTGCTTGTAGTTTTCATACATTTTATATGGACTCGACACACACGGTTCGCCAGTGGCCGCCACACGCTACAAATCGTCGTTGCTCGCTTCTTGTGGCCCGCACCGGCCACTTAATGCACCGATACAAAACGCCGCCACACGTCATTCGCGCGATTCCCCACCCCTCTCTCCCTTGCCTAAGTCGGCCGCTGTCGCGCGCTTCAGCCACTTTAGTAGCCGCTTCTAGCTTTTCGTGGCGGCGTTTGTGGCTGTGGCGTGTGGCCCGCGTGCGGCGACACTTAATGTAGTCTCTTTCAATTTCAATATTTTTGAAGATAAACTTCTTTTCGGACGGGGTGTAAATGGAAAAGATGAAACGGAAATGCGTCACGAGCGTCACGCGACAATATATAAACATATATATGAGTGATGAGCTCGATGGCGAAGATGCTTAACGCGGTCGGCTGCGATCGTTGAAGTTAAGCAAATTTCGCTGTGGTCGGTCATTGGATGGGTGACCAAAAATCTTCTATCTCGAGTTCCTCCGTGCTTCGGAAGGCACGTTAAGCCGTTGGTCCCGGCTGCATCTGCAGTTGTTAGTACCCGCCAATCCGCACTGGGCCCGCGTTGTGGGTCATGGCCCAATCTCCCTATTCCATCCACAGGGAAGGCCTGTGCCCCAGTAGTGGAGACATTAATAGGCTGATGACGATGATGTATGTATCCTTTTCATTCACTATACAAAATGAAAAGGAAAGACTAATCTTAAATTTAGTTTTAAGTTTAGAGAATCATGCCAGAATCGACACCCAATAACTAATGCTGAAAACTGCGTTAAAATCCTTTGCCTACTTCAAGAGAACTTAGTGTACAGACAGCTGGACCGACTTTGTTTTGTACAATGCAAAGGTAAATTTTCAGCTTTAGGTGTCCAAGAAGAGTTGATAATCAGTAGACGTACTAAGACAGAGCCTGAAGGTGAAGATGCCTTCAACATATTGTCCGATGAAATGATACTAAGTGTGTTCAGGTGGTTGCCGAAGAGGACCCTTGCTAACTGTATGCTTGTATGCAAAAGGTAAGTGTAACTTTGTAATTTATGTCCATTTGTGTTTTGCTACTATACTATAGATATTTTTGTAGTGAAAACTTTAGCGGCTTTATAGTAATATAAGTTATTTACGGGATTGTTACCATGTACCTTGTTTTTAGCGAGTTTCCGATATTTCGGCACTGTTGCAAGCGCCATGATCACGGAGTAACTGAAGTAATTGCGGGTAGGCTGTTATTGGCAGACATATCGGTCTACTCTCCGACAAAGTCTTTTATTGTGTTCGATACCACTGTTCACATTCTCACTATTCACTCGAAACTGTTCTCGACACACAACACTTACAGTATCAGACCGCGACAGGACGCTTTTTTTATTATTTCCGGTTTTACACATACGAACCACAGGATTCCCAGACACTCGACAATATTCAAGTTTTCACTTCTGCCGGCACTCCCGGAGTGCAACCCGTCGTATTTTTTTGTTAAAGCTTAAAAAACTGTTATTGAAAGCTCTTGTCTCTGAATCGTCCAACATTTTTTCCTACCACCCAATCAGGGCATCTCTTAGCTGATGAGAAGTATAGGCGCAAGAAACTCCTCAGCATTTTACAGAAGTAGCAACATTTACAAAAAATCATGTCTCTACCAATACAATGTCCACTCACAATATGTAAAAAACCTTCATACTTATAGTGTATTTTACATGTAAAACATTAACAGACTTCATTTATTGTTTCAGATGGCATAGAGTAGCTTATGACGAAACTCTATGGCAAAGATTAGATTTAGGCAATAAAACATTAAACAAGGACGCGTTAGGCAGAATACTAGACAGAAAACCACTTATAGTTAGACTAGCAAGTTCCGAGGTAAGTTTTTATAATAATCTTCTAAATGATTAAAAATAAAAAGCTTATTTGTCTGAAATTATGATTATGTTGTTCAAATTGTTTCCTTCTTATTCCATCAAAAAAACAGCTGCACAGTCCGTTTATCTTCTGGGACAGACACCCCCCTTAGAACCCTTATCAACTAGGCAATTTGTGCTTAACTATTTGTGTCATATTTTTATTTTTAAGAAAGCTTTTACTGGCAAAAATCTGCTTTAAGCAACATGTAGTTTCATATAGTATTAAGAAAAAATAGCCAAGTTGATAAGGGTCCTACAGGGTGGTAAGCACAAATAACCAAGTTGATAAGGGTCCCACCCTGTAGGACCCTTATCAACTTGGCTATTTGTGCTTAATATTTGTGTAGCTTCTGTGGCAAACATCTGCTTTAAGCAACATATAGTAGTTTCGCCTACTGTATATATTTTTTTAGAAATATAGTATTTGATCCCTTAATAAAGTAGGATACTACATATAGGGTTATAGGTATAGTAGGGTTGGTAACCCTACTTGGTGTAATCGAGGGATTAGAATTAAGAAAAATATGGCTTATGTTTAACACCCAAGTTTTTCTACATCTCTATACCATTATGTAGACTACCGAAATTAATTAAAATTTTATAGAAAATACTATTACTAGAAAAAATTCCACGCGGACCAGACAGCAGACGGGACTCGAACCCGCACCCTTCGCTATCCGGGCGAATAAAAAAAAATATTTCCAACATTCACACCAATTAGCCTTGCCCCAAAGTAAGCAAGGCTTGTGTTATGGGATACTAGGGTAACGGATAGAATAAATATACTTTACATATATAAGTATATTTATTTAGAAATACATATTAAACATCCATGACTGGAGAACAAATGCTCGTATTCATCACACAAACGTCTGCCCCCACCGGGATTCGAACCCGGTACCTCTCGAGTCGGCGACACCATGAAACCCGGCGTACAAACCACTCGGCCACGGAGGTCGTCAATACACTGACCATTATGCTACCGCGGCCCTGATGGGCTAGTCGAATCCTTTATAGCCTGGGTTCCGAACCTGGGGTAGGGATGCAAAGTCTTTTGAAATATCGATATTTATATCGAAGTCAGGAAAATATCGATATCCGATATATCGACCATTTTAACTCGATATTATCGATATATCGATATTTTTTTCTTTTTTTTTTGCTTTGTATTAAGTTTGCAAACCAAAAACCTATAATACAGGAAGCAAAGGTTTCCGAAATATCGATATTTATAATGTGGGCAGGTAAATATCGATATCCAATCCGATGTATCAGCCATTCCAACATTTCTATATTTTTATAGCGCTGTAAGAAGTATCAAATCAAAAGCAATTTCGAATCAAAGATATTTATTTTGTTTAAAATGTTTGCACGCAGCCAAAATCAGAATAGATAATCATATGAAAAACAATTGTTATGTATTAGTAAAACCCACACATCGGGGGCGTGCCCATGGCTTCAGAATAGGGTAAGCCCAAAGCTTCCAAAATTACTATACCTATCTTACTTTCTTGACTTGGCGAGCTTAAAAAATTTACGATTTGTATAAGATTCTTAATTTTATTTTGTGTTATATTTCAATGATATTAAATTTCAATTAATCAGTAGTTGACAATTATCTAGAAAAAGAGGCAAGGATTTTATTTAAGTGCATGAGTTACCATTAGGTATACGATTATACCTATATACGTTGGTGTCGATTCTGGCATGATTATCTAAACTTAAAACTACATTTAACATCAGTCTCTCCTTTTTATTCTGTATAGAGAATGACAAGGATACACTGTTGTCAAAGGACAATGTTAAAATTGGCCTAAGAACCAACACCAATTTGGCATTTATGATAATTCTTAGTATATTTTTTGCGATAATTATCAGTATTTAGATTGTGACGGACACTTCCAGTTAAGTAAGCTAAATTAAAAAGTTAAAAAATAATGTGAGACAATAAATACCATTTTATGTGTATAATCTATGGCAGCGCTGCAAACAAAACACTCTTTCTTCCTAATGTCGGCACTTCACTTGGTTATTCGTATTTGCTATTTTAAAACATGACATCAGTCTGTCCTTTTCATTCCTTACTAAGCATGACAAGGACAAACTGTTGTCAAGAGAAGGGCCGGCATAAAATTCTTTACTCTGTGGTTGTGGTGCATGCAGTTTTCATTTGTAGTAATCTGTGGCATTCGTGCATTCCAAAGAGTAGTATATAATATACCGGAAAGTGCATTCTCGTTTCGGATTACCTGTTGTGTGTGTTTATTTGCGATTGTTTTTCCTTTAATTTAACTATATCGGCTATCTAATATGACATCGATATTACCAAAGAGCAGAGCCCTTATTACCAAGTGTTAGTGAACCTGTGCCACATCCTGAGAGGATCTAATCAATAATAATAGCCAAATTATTCAAGAACACCTGATACACATTCACGCTGCATATTTACACAATATAATGTGATATACAAATATATACAATAAACAATATGATACAATTAAGTGAAAAATAGTCAATAAATAAGAAGCAAAACTACAGTTTTTATTTTATTCATGATTCCTACCTAACCAAGTTTTTCCTAATGGTTATTCTTTAAAATAGCACCGAATAAAATGAATTACCTAGTTGTAATATTAATTCACTTCATACTGAGTTCATACTAAATTCATAGGTTGACCTATGTTTCATTGAATATTAAACATAACCTCAAAAAATTTTTAGTTTTCCTAATAATTTAAGTTCTCAGAAGTGTCCGTCAATAATCTTTGTTTTTACAGTCATTTACTTACGATTATGAACCTAGAAAATAATATTTCATGATTGTTGGTTCTTAGGCTAACTATGTATGGACGCTGAGCAATGTCCTTTAATTTTAGGTTTAGAAAATCATGCCAGAATCCACACCAGTTTAGTATATTTCTTGGGGTTCAAGATTTTTTTAATACATCTATAAGCTCTTGCGATTTCAAAGCAATAGTTATTTCGATATTATTCAATTTAGATAGTCATAGCAGGTTAATTAATTGATATTATTGTGTTCAAATTTAGTCTACGAAATATCGATATTTTGGAATTTCCGATATCGTTATTATCGATATCAGTGAATTTTAAATATCGATATTTTGGTCTCGATATTATCGATATTCCGATATATCGTTGCAACCCTAACCTGGGGGTAATTACCCCTCCGGGGGTAAATCTGCCATACTTCGGGGGTAACAAAGAACCTAATTATTTGTTCAAATATAAATAACTAGCAAACCAGTGAACCAAATGTTCACCAAAACCTGATTTAAAAAAAAATGTATTTAATTAATTGAGAACTTCGGAGATTTTGTGTGGTTTCGTTTGAAATTTGTGATTTCTCGAAAACCGAAAGTGCTACGTTACTCAAATCCGGTTTGTAGTCTTATCAGACTATTCTTAACTTATATCTTAAATATTCTCTTTATCTATCTCTTACGGTTTGGCCGCTGAAACAGCACCACAGACAGACGGACGGACGGACTTGTCTAATAGATAAGAGATACTACTACATAGTGAGCCCGCGGGGTGCTGAGTGTGGGAAGCGGGGCGAGATTCTCTCCTGATGATGACATTATTAGTGACGAAGATGTAGCGGCCAAATTGGATTATTTTGGACTGATGATAACATTTTAAAGTCGGGGTAAAATCTGTTTCCCTAATAGGTTACAGGCGTAGTAGTATTTTAGCATATTGGAAAGGTTAGGAAACACTGCTTTATAGCCTTTCCTTAAACATCTAGCAGTTACATGCTTAAAAAAAATGGGTGCGTGTACTTATGTAGGCGCGTGAGAAGTTATCCTTCTTTGGCATCGTTTAAAATAAGTTTTTAATTGCATGCAAATAATTAATTACAATAAATTAATAAAAAGTCTGGAAAAGGACACAGTCAATAAAGTTCAGTTTTAATTTGAAAAAATAAATAAATAATCAAAATATTCAATTAAAATCGCTACTGAATATAATTTATTAGAACATATGTGATTTGCACTTGTATGAAACTGAAACACGTATTCCGAATATACAAACTAGAAACATGTGGATGAATATTAAAAATATGAATACCTATAACTGTTACTTTATTACAAAAAATAAAGATGTGGTTTTTGGTTCTACTACACCAATGGTCAAGAGATGGCGCTGTAGTCTCCTGAATCGCGCTTTGGTTCCGTTGTTCCAGATTAATAAATACTTTTGATAGGCCTTCACTATGCAGTCGTTAGCACCCACTAAATAGAGATTCTATTTCTATTTTGTTGGTAGATTTTCTTAATGTGCGGTAAACACAAAAGTAACGGATGAAGAAGATGACCAACTTCATGCTGTTAAAATTTTGTGTTACAGTGATGCGCGCGCATCTTAAAATTTCACTCTCTAAATTTTTTCATAACGCGCCTAAAGAAGTATAACTTCAAAAATTATATCTTAAATTTTGTAATTATTTCTTCTCTTACCAGATAGGAGAATGGCACGTAACAACTCCACCTTCACCGTCTCGCATACAATACCTAGATCTAAGCGTTTGCAGCATAGATTATGTAACTCTAAACTGTCTAATCGAAAGGTGTCCAGCTTTGAAGAAGTTGAGCTTAGAAAATGTTCCGGTTAACGATGAAACTTGTGAATTAATCGGTGAGTATATCTTCTATATATGTATAATAAAATGGTAGGAAAGTCAAAACTGTACATTGAACATTTTTTTAAAAGAATACTTGGGGTGTGATCTTCAATCGATACCGAAGCCAAAAATATAGTTTTTAGAATTTTTGTCTGTTTCTTCTGTGTTAATCCACGATGTCAGCTAACTCCATTCCAAATCTTATTAAAATCGCTCCCGCTGTTTATTGTGTTTATTAGTGTGATAATATTTCACTACTAATTAAGAATTTATAAATCGTAAATTATTTGTAAATGTTTGCATTGTTTCAGGCAAATGTACACAGTTAGAAACTTTAAATTTAACAATGGCACAAGGTATCACTATGAAAGGATTAATGTCTATATTAAAAGGCTGTTTATGGTGAGTATGGTTTTGATTCACATTTACTAGTAAAAAAAGGTCAAATGTGTCTGTCTGTTTAATTATTCTAGTTATTCTCCCTTATCCCTCCATCACCTTTTCTTCTGAGGACCACGCGCTGGCCTACGTTGCTGTGGCCACTATTCCTACACAAACAAAGAAATTTGATGACTCATTTCTTTGTCCTACTATTCGTAAATGGAATTCATTACCCGCGCAAGTGTTCCCTCCTTCCTATAATCTGGGCGAGGCGTGAAGAAGCATTTTTGCAGGCCGGCAAGGTGAGGATGGTTGGTGTAGCAGTTTATAACTGCTGTACCGGCTATCTTCGCGTTTGGACTTTATTACCACTTAACATCAGGTGGGGTAGAGTCGTTTGCCTACCTCTATATATAAAAAAATAAAATAAAAAATAATGGCCAGTTTTAATAATCTAATCTGCGAAAAAAGTGATGATAATCTGGTATCTTTCCTTAGCAACATGTGTTATTATAAACTGAGGAACTAGCGAACAATTACAGGATAATTAGATGTTATTAAATTTTACAGGAGCTTTATAAAACTGAATGACATACCTACAGTGAGCTTTTGGCATGGTTTTTAATTTATAAATTTAGTAATTTTAACACTGTTTTAGCGCCGGCGCACATTGGCGGCACGGCATGGCAGAGTATTTTTAGGCGACGAATAAAAATATAACTAAAGAGTATGAAAATAAAGTTGAGATTTCAATGTTGAAGGTCGTAGGTACAAAAACAATGCCGCGGGATGCTTAGGCATGCCGTGTCGGCATCCTTCGGAACGCCTATTCGACGCTATGGCCGTCTTCGGGATACCGAACGATACCGCGACAAGACAAGACAGCGCCCGCCCAAATCTTCTCTTTGATTGTATAGTTTTCTCTTCTTCTTCAGCAACAACTGCTATGAGAACTAGGTCCCATTCTACCATTATAAATACTCACACGTACAACAAGCTTGCGTTATGACTGTTCTGAAGAAGAGATAAGACTGTTGTGAAAGGTTGTGTCTAAGGACGCCTCGGCATGCCTAAGGACGCCTCAGAACGCTTAAGGACGTGGAGGCATACCTAAGGATACCACGGCATTGTTACCGCCAGTGTGCGCTTACATGTAGGGATGCCGAAGGATCCCATGCCGTACCGTGCCGCCAATGTGCTCCGGGCCTTAAGCGGTTTTGACAACGATATTTACCGCTTAACTCGTCGACACGAGCGGTAAGTTCGGAAAGCTGGGCGTTGTTGGACTCTTAAGTCGGATTTCTTGCTTTCCACTATAGCTTTGGCTGCTTCCACCTTGGAATTTTAAAGTTGGGAGTTACAATTCTGTCATATCATATACTTTATTATAAAGAGGGGAGATTTGTATGTTTGTAACGATATATTAAATACCCTAGATACACCAACACGAATAAAATCGTGCCCGAAACCTGTCCAAAAGATACATTGGACGATCCACGGAGCTATGTAAGGTGATCGCGTAGTCAAAAACAATATAAGGCATTATTCAAACATTGAAAGTCACCTTTAATATATACTGTATAAGGTCTTAATTAGAACGCATGCGTCAACCAGTTATGACGTTCCGAAATGCAAGCTCATAAAATTGTACGACGTACTGCTATATGCGGAAGAATATAGACCTTATTTCTCTGACTCTAAGCGCAATACGGCTGTATCTTTTGATTGCTTTGGCTTAGAAGTTCGACAAAAGAACTAGGAAAGAGATTTCTGTTTCTGAATAAAAGTTTATTGTTAACTCGTGAGTGCCTGCGACTTCGTCTACGTGGAAAAAATGGTTTTCCATACTTTCATCCCCACTTTGCTTTCTGGGAAAAAAACCATAGTATATCCTTTCCAGAGACTCGGTGCGATTTCTTTACCAAATTTTATCAATAATCGGTTCAGCTGCTTAACCATGAAGAGGTAACAGACAGACGGACACACTTTGACATTTATCATACTAGTATGCATGGAGGTTAGAGAGATGGAGAACGATCGCTACATACTAAAGAATTAGGCCGCCTGTCCCTGAAAATTTGTAGAATTTATAGTTCATTTTTCAGCCAAAAGCCGCGCTGCCGTCGGCAAGTAGTATCTGTGAAGTTAGCTGTTTATGAGTATAAGTAGATGAAGTTAGTTGAATATTGTACAAATTTTCTTCGCGGCATTGGTCATTTCAAATTAGCCCGCTTTTATTGAGACAAATTAGCGATCGCAGCGCCCTCACTTATTTTGTGACTATCGTAAGTGGTATTGTATTGCTAGAACCGTTGAATAATAGTAAAAATCTTTAAGTCAATTAATTTGAAGTAAGTTTTTCTAGTGCTAGAATCTTGCCTTGCCGTGTGTGTTAACTAGCTCGGAAGGTAAAGAATGTTTGTCTCGTATACCTACCCACATATAAAATATTTTTCTTTGCGTATTAAGTAAGCAGTTTTTTGTTCAATTATTTACTATTAGTATTGAGCATAATAACGATAAGTTCTTAATTCATTTAGTTACCAAGTTATTACGTGTTTGAGTGTGTCTCTCTCTCTCTCTCTCTCTCTCTCTCTCTCTCTCTCTCTCTGTGTGTGTGTGTGTATGTTTCTGCGTGTGTGTGTGTGTCTGTTTCTGTGTGTGTGTGTGTGTCTGGGTGTGTCTCTCTGTGTGTGTGTGTCCCTCTCTCTCTTTGCGTGTGTGTGTGTGTGTCTCTCTCTCTCTCTGTGTGTGTGTCTATGTTTGTGTCTCTCTCTCTGTGTGTGTGTCCCTCTGTGTGTGTGTCCCTTAGTGTTGTTAAGAGGTGTGTGTGTGTGTGTGTGTGTGTGTGTGTGTGTGTGTGTGTGTGTGTGTGTGTGTCTCTCTCTCTCTCTCTCTGTCCCTCTGTGTGTGTGTCCCTTAGTGTGTGTGTGTGTGTGTGTGTGTGTGTGTGTGTGGAAATTACATAATATATAAGTGGTAGATCAATATTTTAACTATTACTTTTTATTATTATTTTATTGGACATTTAACTGCTGTATGTTTGAATCTGCGGAAACCCATACAAAAAGATGTTTATTTTTTTTATTTAGTTTTCTTTTCTTTAGATTCAGACTTAGCTATCTTAGAAAACCAAGGTATACTGTAACATTTTTATGAATAAAATTCTATTCTATTCTATTTGTCCATATTTCTGGGGCACTATTTTCTACAGCGATCATTGTCCTTCTCTCTAACCTCCATGAGACAGAGAATATTAACTAGAAAATAATATCTCTTATCTATTAGACAAGTCCGTCTGTCTGTGGTGCTGTTTCAGCGGCCAAACCGTAAGAGATAGATAAAGAGAATATTAAAGTTATAAGTTAAGAATAGTCTGATAAGACTGCAAACCGGATTTGAGTAACGTAGCACTTCCGGTTTTCGAGAAATCAGGTTTTGGTGAACATTTGGTTCACTGGTTTGCTAGTATATATGTATATACTATATATTTCTAGCATGCTATACTAGTATGGATCGTGTGATCGGCCATCTTGAAATTTACACTTACCTCTAATAATAATAATGTATGTTTGTCCACAGTTTGCAATCGTTAAACATATCGTGGTGTTGTCTCTCAGAGAGTACGTTAGAAGTATTAGTGTCATATTTACCACAGAAACTGCAAAGGTTGAATGTGGCCGGTGCTAGAATACTTAAAGATGACAGTGAGTTGTTTAAATAATCATATTATTTATCATCGTCAGAAGCCTATTAATGTCCCCACTGCTGTGGCATAGGCCTTCCCTATGGATGGAATAGGGAGATGGGGCCATGACCCACCATGCGGGCCCATTGCGGATTGGTGGGTGCTAACGACTGCAGATGCAGCCGGGACCAACGGCTTAACGTGCCTTCCGAAGCACGGAGGAACTCGAGATAGAAGATTTTTGGTCACCCATCCAAAGACCGAGACCGAGACCACTGCGAAAGTTGCTTAACTTTAACGATCGCAGCCGAACGCGCTAACCACCCGCGCCAGCGAGCTGCAGATTGTACACAATGACATTCATCTATGATTCTTCTTATACCTGCATGCAAAGTCTCAGCCCGATCGGTTTAAAATTGACAAACTTTCATTCCCTATTTTATCCCTTGGGGGTAGAATTGATCAAAATCTTTTCTTAGCGGATGCCTACGTCATAACATCTACCTGCATGCCAAATTCCAGCTCGATTCGTCCAGTGGTTTGGGCTGTGCGTTGATAGATCACTATGTCAGTCAGTCACCTTTGAATTTTATATATATACTAGCTGACCCAGCGAACTTCGTACCGCCCTAAAAAAATAGGGGTTGTCCAGCGGACAAAATTGTGAATCTAAACCATTCTCAGATCCCCTTGAACACACACAAAAAATTTCATCAAAATCGGTCCAGTCGTTTAAGAGAAGTTCAGTATTTAAATGATTTTTATTCTTCCCCAGTGGTGAAACAGCTGGTGTCCCGCTGTCCTCGCCTCCTAGAACTGGATCTATCTGACTGCAGCTCGTTATCAGAGGACGCTCTACAAGCGCTACAAAGTTTAACGAGACTAGAACATTTAGCGCTGAGCAGATGTTATTTGCTACCACCACATAGACTTACGTGAGTGTTTATTTTACTTGAAAAACAGTGTGCACGTAGCACACATCTGAAGTGAAACTTCTTTTCTTAAGAGCCATTTCACATTTTTTATAGAAAACTAGCTGACCCAGCGAACTTCGTACCGCCCTAAAAAAATAGGGGTTGTCCAGCGGACAAAATTGTGAATCTAAACCATTCTCAGATCCCCTTGAACACACACAAAAAATTTCATCAAAATCGGTCCAGTCGTTTAAGAGAAGTTCAGTGACATACACACTCACAGAAGAATTATATATATAAAGATAGAAATATTAAAACTAAAATAATACATTGATTCAAATTTAATTCTGAACTTCTGTAAACTTGTCTATAAAAAATAACTACAGAAGAAATTATAAGAACAATTATCATAAACTAGAGTAAGTAAAGTAAGTAAAGTCTGCGGTAACTTAGTTTCTTGAAAATCTCTCTGAAACCTAACATTTTTCAGGATAAAAGTAGCCTATGTGTTAATCTAGGGTGTCAGCTAACTCCATACCAAATTTTATTAAAATCGCTTCAGCCGTTTAGACGTGAAGAAGTAACAAACATACACACTCACATACTCACAATCTTTCGCCTTTTATAATATTAGTGTGATAACAAATATATTCAATCTAATAAACTTCTTATTACAATTCTCATAGATCTGAAAGAAATCAATTCTCACTCAAAAATATAAACTAAATGTTTTATTACAAAAATAAGAAGAAAAAAAAACTATTCTTAAAGAAAATAATAAAAAAACAAATAGAATACTTTTGAATGATTTAAAATGAAACCTCATATTTTTGACTCAACAAATCAATATTTTACTTAAATTATTTAAAAAACTTAAAGGTAATCAATGTAATATTAACAATAAATATTCCCGAAATAATCCTATTTAAAATCTATAAATACCAAAATAAAATTTTCCATGTTCAATAAATGAATATAAATAATATTAATTTTATTTTTTAGAACTATAGATATTCAACATCAACTCATTAAACTAATGTCACCCATTAAAGTTAATGAAGGAGGTGTTGCTATATTAGATGATATCAATAAAAATCATCATAATCTTATAGAAGGTATTAATCTTATTATACCCTTATTAATATATAATCTTCGTCTATGTCATTTTTTGCAAAAAATCTTAATTTTGGAGCGGCTCGTTTACCCCCTTAGAAAAGATTTTGACTTTTTCCAATAGAAGTAAACAGTAGATTTATTCATCCTATTGTAAGTTAATGTAGAACTAGCAAACCAGTGAACCAAATGTTCACCAAAACCTGATTTAAAAAAAAATGTATTTAATTAATTGAGAACTTCGGAGATTTTGTGTGGTTTCGTTTGAAATTCGTGATTTCTCGAAAACCGGAAGTGCTACGTTACTCAAATCCGGTTTGTAGTCATATCAGACTATTCTTAACTTATAACTTAAATATTCTCTTTATCTATCTCTTACGGTTTGGCCGGACGGACAGACTTGTCTAATAGATAAGAGATACTTTCCCTCCGTGTGAGGTCGCCGTGGGACGCCCTGTATATAGATTGTAACTAATGTTTGTAAACGCTTTTCAGTAAATTAAACTGCATGGTGGCGCTGCAGTACCTGGAAGTATGGGGCATGCTTCCATCGGCGTCGTTGAATGCTTTAAGGGCCGCGTTACCAGCCATACAGCTCAACCAGTTCATGTTCAGGTTAGTCAATCAATCAATCAATATCATTTATTCAGTTTAGGCTGTTACAAGCACTCATGAATGTCTAGAAGCTACGCCATCGGTTCGTTAATCTACGGCGGGAGACCTTGTACTGAGAAGAACCGGCAAGAAACTCAGGAAGGGCTGTTTTTTCCTCCCTGTTTTATTATTTACAGAGTCGTCAAATTGAAAAATGACTTCAGAGATGATTCATGAAGTCACCTTTCATTACATAATGATAAAATATACATTCATTGTTTGCCTGCATTTTGATTGCTGTGTCATACAGTATAAATAGAAATAGTGTTATTTATATTAAGTGTAACTAAACATTAACATCTAGAAAGTACTAGAGATAAACAAATTGATAAATATTTCCAACACTCACACCAATTAGCCTAGTCCCAAAGTAAGCACTGTAAGGCTTGTGTTGTGGGATACTAGGGTAACGTATAGAATATATATACAGTACATATATAAGTATATTTATATAGAAATACATATTAACACCCATGTCTGGAGTACAAATGCTCGTATCTATCTTCATCACACAAATATTTGTCCCCACCGGGTTCGAATCCCGGTGGGGGCAGATGTTTGTGTGATGAATACGAGCATCTGTACTCCAGTCATGGATGTTTAATATGTTATTAAGTGAAACTTCTTTATGCACGCTTGACTTGGAGAGTAAGTTAGTGAATGCGTTATGCGTTACGAAAAGTGAGTTCGGGCGAGGCGAACGGGAGTTGAGCGGGGGATATAAGCGAGAGAAAGCAGTGCGCGCGCACATTTGCTTTCTCTCTTTCTCTTATAGCTAGTAAATGAAATATGTATATGTCCATACATCTTTATATATATAATTCTTCTGTGAGTGTGTATGTCACTGAACTTCTCTTAAACGACTGGACCGATTTTGATGAAATTTTTTGTGTGTGTTCAAGGGGATCTGAGAATGATTTAGATTCACAATTTTGTCCGCTGGACAACCCCTATTTTTTTAGGGCGGTACGAAGTTCGCTGGGTCAGCTAGTGTATATATATGAAAATCAATTGCTGTTCGTTAGTCTCGCTAAAACTCGAGAACGGCTGAACGGATTTATCTTAGCTTGATCTTGAAATGCTCTTGGAGGTCTAGGGAAGGTTTAAAAATGAGAAAAATGTCTACCTTCACTACAGCTCTACACCGAAGCGAAGCTAAGCTGGCCACTGGTATGTATATATATATTGTAAGCTTCAGAAGTGGAAATTCAATAAAAAAAATAGTTTACAACAAAAAAAACATTTTTTTTCTTCATAATTACGATTGACTCTAATTACAATCAACAAAATTACTTACAGTCCACAATCCACTAGCGTTCTACCCCCAGCGCCTTGCTTTTATAGGCGAAGTCGTGGGGTAGTAGCTGACGTAAGAGAGGATTCTTCTTACAATATATACTAGCAAACCAGTGAACCAAATGTTCACCAAAACCTGATTTCTCGAAAACCGGAAGTGCTACGTTACTCAAATCCGGTTTGTGGTCTTATCAGACTATTCTTAACTTATAACTTAAATATTCTCTTTATCTATCTCTTACGGTTTGGCCGCTGAAATAGCACCACAGACAGACTGACGGACTTGTCTAATAGATAAGAGATACATACATATGGAGCTAAAGAAGTTTCACTCCCAGTTTCTCCATATAATTACGTATGTATAGTATATGTATTCTATCCGTTACCCTAGTATCCCATAACACAAGCCTTATAGTGGTTACTTTGGGGCTAGGCTAATTAGTGTGTGTTAGAAATATTAATTAATAATTGTCTTTATAATTTTTATTTTTTAAAGCATGTAACTGCTTGGTGTTTAAATCTAAAGAAAATAGAACTAGAAAAAAAAGTCCGTGAGGGCCGCGGTAGCATAATTGGTCAGTGCATTCGCCCGGATTGCGAAGGGTGCGGGTTCGAGTCCCTTCTGCTGCCTGGTCCGCGTGGATTTTTTTCTAGTTATATTTTCCTTATAATTGTTTTTTTATTTTATTTACAGCGCCATCGCTAGACCAACAGTAGGCACTAGAAGAACTTCTGTGTGGGGCCTTCGTACCAGAGACTGATTAAATTTAAATAAACTACTTATATTAATTATTTATTTATATATGTGTTAAGTATTGAAAGCACAAATGAATTGTTTGTATGAGAGACCTGTGAGGTGTTTGATTAGCAACCGGAACATTAAATTGGAGTAATGTATGATAAAATCACGCTAATATTATAAAAGCGAAAATTTGTGAGTGTGTATGTTTGTTACTTCTTCACGTCTAAACGGATGGAGCGATTTTAATAAAATTTGGTTTGGAGGTAGCCAACACTCTGGATTAACACATAGGTTACTTTTTACTGCGGAAAAATATCCCTAATAAACCGCGCGTAACACCGTGGGGCACAGCTAGTATTACATAACTCCGATTTCAAAGTAGTCGGAGCATTAAAAGTCATGGAAATCGGAAGAAAATGTTCCGTAAAGAAACTTAACGTAAAATTAAATATATATGTCGCAGTCAGCTTGTAAACTTCATCATATTTTTTTGAGGGTACTTGCATTTAAAATGGCGGTATATTGGCGTCACACGCTAGTAAGCTTACGGACAAAGTGGCATTACATTGTATCGTTTGACGTTTTAATGACAGCCGTGTGACGTCACATACTAGTGAGACGCCATGATGTCCAGAGAAACAAGTTTCTCGGCAACTTGGAAATTTAATTTTAAATTTCGCTTTTTTATACAGAATTCACAACAGAATTAAAATATCTAATTTTTATGGCCTCCATATACATAACTAAATAAATAACGTGAGATGGTTTTCTAAAACTTGTCAGAAACCCCATTACGTGCTTCCGTTGCGTATTTGATCCCGACACTTGATGTGAAAAGCACATACTTAAGGAACTTACACAGCCGCACTCACAGACGTCAATTAACATTGTTAAGTTCAATTAAAGTTGGTGCTATGTCGGACAATGGAATTAATACGAGTTTTAGTGAAACGTTAAATTTTGATTAAAGTGTCTTGAGTATAGCGGTTAGATTTTAGGATTGGATAGAAAGGTTCAAGTATGTCGTATCCTTTGCATTTAATTAATTTTAATTGACTTTACTGCATATTATTTATTGTGAACTGTCGCCACTTCATATGATGATTTGCTATCTATAGTTCGTCGACACCAACGAATTAGATTTAATATGGAATACAAACTGTAACCCTTAGCACGAACCAATATCGATTTCGTATCGTTTGCGAGTACAAAATTTCATTGTCAAATGTGTACTGATTTTTAGTTCTCGTTACGTACGTTATGGCGCTGCTGTTCACGTTTTCATACAAGACAATAACATTTGAGAGTTGCTAACTATTCGAATTCGATAATGGTTTGTGCTCTAAAGAGTGGTTCCATGCAAACTGCTATCAAGTGGGCGGAGCGAAAAAACTGCGATCAACCGCCGATCATTGGATTGGCTGGGATTTCCGTTTAACATTATCACACCCATTGAATGTAGACAAATTTATTTGCAGATATTTTATTTGTTAAAGTGTTTTATTTTTTCTTGGCCAACACTGATTTGTGTGATATTTATTGTAACATGAACTCTCAATCATATGATTTAAAGCCCATATCAGATAGCATTTAACTTACTGCGTGTACCTACCAAAAATAAATAAGGATAAATAAAAATTCTATAAAAACTTATGGCTTATATTATTGTAGCATAACTTTGATGAATACAATGTATTTTCTATCTTGTTAAGTGAAAGTTCCATGTGATTTTGTAAATCAAATATTATTTTAATAAAAGTTTTTTTTATCAAAATCATCTTTTATCTTTTGAATAGGTATAAAATAAAATCTCTTTAAATTTAATTAATACTATAATTTGATTGCAAGATATTTTTTTAATGTCAACTCTATAAAATAAAAAATTCAGGTGCCTGTGATTTTTCTCATTCTATATGAACTGACAAATTAGATGATTCAGATTTTGCAATTGCACTAATTTAACTGTAGAGAAAAACAAAAGAACTGCCAAAGATTCTCCACAATTTTTTTTTATCTTAATTTATCAGTACCAGCGGCCTGACCGCCTAAGTCAAAGCGAGAGCAATACGAAAGTTGACAGCCATAACTTTTTCAAACTCTGTCTGCGATAAAATCGAAACGCCTAAAATTCACGACGTGTCGTAATGCTTATGGTTATCAAATGCTTACGTGAGTGAACGATTCAATTGCGTTATGTTCATGTATTTTTTTACAAAATTCTTTTCATTTTATAGTTGACTGAAATACATTAATATTTAATTTACAAATGTATATTATCATAGGGTGGCATAAATATTAATATTTAATAATTAGTCTTACAAAATTATTCTTAAATCAAAGACATAAGAAAATTTTAATTGGGTACCATAAATTGCACAAACAAAACGCTATGTCTGTTACATCTGCCTACGTTCTAAACTTATGCTCTGGGTGCATTTTTTTTACCCTGATTTATCAATTTTGACATAAAATGTATTAAATAAAACAAGTTTCAACGGGTTAGATGCACTGATTTTATTTATTTATCAAACCTAAGAAACAAATACATAAAATGTATGTCAAAATATACATTGTTCGTACCTGAAGCATATGTTCTGAACGTATGCCATAACTGCTGTCAGCACTTCACTTGGCTATTCGTGTTTGCTGTTTGTTAATTTGACCGCAGTCTGTCCTTAACATGCTTTATAAAGAATGAAAAGGACAAGCTGATGTCAAGTATAAATATAACAAACTCGAAACTATTGAGCATACGTCGCATAGAAATTAGAAATCTGATAACTTTTAGAAAGAAAGTATCACATCGAAGAAACTTGACTAAGTAAGTACTTTTTGAGTAAACAAAAATAATTCAAGAAATTTAATAACTTTACTTTATCACGAAGATCATGTTAATTTTGTCAAAGATAATCGCATTTTCGTCATTATAATTTAGTACTTATTTAACATTTTAGAAACCGGCACCATATTAAGTCTACAACTCCAACGTACAGTTGGAGGCCTTACTAATATGGATGGAGGAGCACCCATTCCAGGCTAGAGGGATGCAAATTGGAGCCCCGCACAGGCCAAACAGGCTTCGATGGGCCTATGGAAGAGTTTAGCGTCCCTCCTAAACGCAATTAATGATGTTACTAAAACACCAAAGGAGTGGTGATTTAAAGTAAGTGGTACTTTACTATTATTTTGTATAAAGTTTATAAGGCATCTTGTTATGTGTTCTGTATTTGTACTATTGCATGGAATTCAATTACTAATTTGAAAATGGTAACTCCCCATACATAAGGTGCTGTTAAAAGCTTAACTATTTTTTTTTTTCTATTTGGCTGAGCCTGGCTTATGATCAATCAATGTTATTTTATTCACCTACTTAATAACATTGTAAGTTCAATTATGTTGCCTTATCTGTTTTAATTAAGCATCCATCCTATGGAAAGTACCAAGAGTAAAGTGTTACCTATAAAAACCTTTGGAGGTCTATATCTTTACCATTGATTAATTTCATGTAACATGGTAGGACTCATAGACTCATTTGTAAAGAATAATAACATACCACTTAATAAGTTTCAAAAACTGGAAAATACAAACAATCCCTTTTTAAAAAACGCTGGTAACTTGTTTCAGCTGTATTGGATTTTTGAGCTGGAAAACTGCCGGCTTTGCGACAGTCAACTGCATGGGGAAAATTTGAGGAGCAGCGACTGGAGGAACAGCAATTGCGGAGGGACGTGCTCCGAGCATTGAGAGATATTACTCATGTATTATGTTGGTTCTATAAGACTGTAACTCATGGAAATAAATAATGTGCATTTGTATCTGAAGTTGTTTATGGTAATCTTTTTACTAAAATATAACAGCAATACTACTGAATGTTTTATTTACTGAATATTATTATCGTAAGCTCCCTCCTCAACTTTATCACCTTGCAACCTTTTTCTAGGTCATGGTCTCACAGCTGTTGTTCATTGAGTAAAAAAGTAGAATAAAAATCTATTAAGAGTTAATAGCTAATAGGTGTTATTAAATTAGTAGGTCTTTGGAGACATACTGGCTGGTTTCTGAATAGCGGTGTGACCACAGTTACAAGGTCTACCATGCTTCTCAACAATAGGGTAGTCAGGAAATGAAATTATTTCTTTAAAGTTGATTAGTACCTACTAAAAAGTTTGAAACAGTTTTGAAATGAAATCATTTATTTATTTAGAGTCTATATTCAGAGTTAAATTGTTTATATAAAAATAAATTATTGTGTTCATTTTAATACTCTTTTAACTCTGTGCGCCTTTTGACAAAGGCCTCCTTAAACTTTTTCCAGTTTTTGCTCTCCAAGCCAGCTTTGTCCAAGGGGTTTCCCTTTTATTTCTCAAATGAATAAATTCAATTTGTACCCAATTAGTAACTTGCTAATAGAAAGTAAATTTAGAATATTTGAACACTAACATAAGAAATAAATTTTATTGTTATGAATATTTAACAACAACTTATAAAATTACAGTTATATAAATCAAATTAAACTAGAGTATTAATAATAACTAGTTTCTCATTTAAAGTTAGTACATATTCAAAAGTTGTATTTAAATAAAACAAATTTGAAATGAAATCATATTTTATTCAAATTAAGTTATTGAGAGCTCTTTAATCATCCTACATTTTTTTCCTACTACCACACAGGACATCTTCTAGCTGGTGAGAAGAATGGGCGCAAGAAACTCATCAGCATTTAACATTTACATCAAATCATGTAGCTACCAATACATACAGGAAGATATAAAAATGACATGTTAAATTTAGACATTTAACTTAGGTGCTAATTAATAATTAATTAGTATAATAAAAATAAAATACAATAAATTGTAAACTAAACTTATGATACCTATTTTATCTTGTATGGTGCCTCTGCTCACAGATCCTTCTTCACACAAGTTTCTGTAAACAGTTTTAAATAGTCAATTATGGTTATGACTACTCCAGAGTAACTGACTGTCTTGCAGGACAGATGCCACGGACAGGCCTGTCTCCACTTGTGGCAAGTATGTCACGCTGTGGTTGGCGGACATGATCACACGCATGACATCCTCATCAATCTTGATACATGAGTCGCAAATAAGGTTGTGTAAAACAACACATGCATTTAAGATTTTCCCTGCTTTCTGATTTGGGTCTTGAAGATGCCAAAGCATCTTTCTATGACATTCCTAGTCCGCACATGTGAATTTGTGTAGTGATCCTCTGGTCTCCCTGGGTCAGCATGGAGGATTGGCGTCATCATCCATGCCCTTCGGGCATAGCCAGAGTCATCTGTAAAATAAATATTGTAAAACTAACACTGAAAAATACTAACATACAAAAACACTTATTTTGTATGAAAATATTCAAATAAAATGATAACAAATGATTTTTAATACACATACCCAAGAACCAGTAGATCTGTCCAATATCATGGAGTCTTTCAATTCCATTTTTCACAGGGCAACAATTCCAAACATGAGTCATGACTTGCACCACCAAATGATGCATCCATATGCAAAATATGTAAGTCTGCATCACACATCTGTAACAAGAGTATAATATTAAGGTTTAAACAACTATTTTATTTCATATGAGTATCACATTCCAAGAAATTATTTTTGAAAAGTTATGGTATAAATGCTTTTGGTATAGTACCTACCTTTGTGTAAAGTGTTATTTTATTAAACTAAATTTTGTTGGTATGAAGTGATTCTAATATAATATAATTCATTTAACACAAAATTTGTTAAGAGACAATTGATTAAAAAATAAGTTGCTTCATATATTTACTGTTTTATAAATAAATGTAGAGTATTTGATTGTTAAAAGGTTTTATTATAATTCAATAGACCACATTTATTCAAAAATATAGAAATAATATGTGATTCTGTAATCATGTAAACATTTGGAAGAGATTTAGGAAGCGGTTTTAATGTAATTATTACTTACCGCAAGCACATTAAGCACAGGGAGAGGTACATTTTCCTGTTAAAATATGCTTCTTCATAGTCTTTAGGTCGTTCTGTGCGTCGGATGCAAAAACGGCATCAAGTCGTCGCAAAGAGTAAGGAAATTATCCTTACTCAGGCGGAACGTTTGGACAAACGTTCGCTCCGGCAGCAACATAGGCATGCTGTCCTCCCGCAACTGTCTTCTTCGCAAGGTCAGCATTGTCTTCTGGCTCTCCTCCTCAGCTACCACCAACAGAAATATTCGAGCCATTTCTCACTAAAACAGAAAAAAAACTACAAGAGTACACAATCTTAGGTTAACAAAAGACAAAAGTAGCTATATTTTAATTTTATAAAGCAAAATAAATTGAATTATAAATATCGTATGAAAGCATGAGATGAAAACAGTGAGTCTTTATGTGTCTGCTTATCTGACAGCTTTAACGCTTACCCGCCATCTTGAAATCGCTTTCACTTTTTTTAGGCGTTTCGATTTCCTGTCAAAATAGTAGCGAGAAATTGAACGATGTCATTCAAAATTGTTAATGGCTGTCATCGGCCGCAAAGTAAATGTGAAAGCGTTATGGCTTTCATAGGCGTTTCCAAATGACAGTGTGACGTCATAAACTTTAGCATTTTTAAAGCAACGCGAGTTAGGCGATCAGGCCCCAGTTGTCGAACCTTGCGTTAAATAATAGTTTTATATACAAAAGGAAATAATTTAATGTACATACTGGAAGATCTCAGAATGATTCTCTTAATACAAAATTTAACGTCAATCTCTCCATTTCATTCAAAATGACAAGGATACACTTGGGTGTGAATTCTGGCATGGTTTACTAAACCTAAATTTAAATTTCACAATATATTTATTCTCTATACAGAATGAAAAAGACAGACTGATTTTAAATTAGTTTTAAGTTTAGAGAATCATGCCAGTATTGACACCACTGTTGTCAAATTTAAGTTTTGGTTTAGTCAGAATTGATGCCATTACAATCTTAATTTTTAGTATCAAGAATACTATACAACTACAAAATATGCCTTCACAATAAGTCCATATATAATAATCCCAAAAGAGTTTGTAAGAAATTAGATAAAGACTTCCATTTATTTAAATTCTAGAGCACTCAGTTGTAAAATACAATCTCACAAAAGATCTATATATTGCAAACAATTTGCTTTTCTTATTTTTTGAATGTTCTTTTTGCCTTCTGCTCAGCGGCATCGCTGGCCTGTACGAATGTCCTTTTCAGTTTATTCTTGCGGCTGTCTCTGTATTTGGCTGAAACCTTCTCAGAAAGCATAGCAATCCTTTTCATTGTCTGTGGTGGGTATCTGTAAAATAACAATGTCTGGAATAAAAATCAATTTTAATATACTCTCAAGAGGGATGGATTTTGAGGACCAAACATGAATTTTGGGAGCTAGGTACTCATACAGTATTGTCAAAGTTTCTATGAAAACTAAGCAGTTCAAACTAGCTTCTTCCATACAAAATTTGACAATATATACAGAGCTGTCAAAATTTGTGCTTGGGCTTCAGTTTTTCCAATTTATTTATTTATTTTCATTTGGGAAACATACAGTTTTACACAATTCAATTAAGTTACACTTATTACTTTTTCATAAACCAGTTAAGTTTCCACAGACTGAAACATTCATGCACTTACATAATTTACTTAAAATTACGTACAATATTTAGAGTTATGTGAATAGAATAAACATGATAATCAAAATTTATGGTAAGAAAACAATTTATAAGTGTTAGGGTAAAACAACCTTATAGCATTAATTTCTAAATTGATTGTAAGAAAGGCAAAATATATCCAATCCCCTGAAGTATTTATTATAGCTGTGACATGCTCTAGAAATGAAACTATTTGCAGCAAACTTGGTCAGACAAATGTGTTGTCAGACCTAGTTCTATTTGGACAACGGAAACCAATCCTCTGCAAAAGGAACGGCGAATCTACAAGGTCATTAATAAGTTTGTAAAGAAATAATTGATCTCTAACAGTTCTGCGATGTTGCAAAGATGTAACCTGTAAGTTTGCTTCACAATCATTAATAATCAAGTTAACATTAATTCTGTTTTCTAAGTACTTTACAAATTCTAAGTTATTTATTATATAGAGATACATCAGCAACATGTTATACCTCCCAGGTCTCTTAAAAAAAAATTACAGACAAAGGGTTGATTGAAAACAGAGCACACAAGACCGTTCCGTATAAATTAAAACTTTTTTGGCTGTACAGAAGACTGGGAGAAAAAATATTCAATTAATCAACAGCACAAAAACATTTGCAAAACCCAAAATACTTTTGGTCTACAACAGAACTACTAGTCACAATCAATTTACTATTTGAGCTCTTTGAAATTCAAAAGAATATTTGGGAACTGTTGCTGGTTTCGATATCGTCAGCACTAACCAATTTTATTAGGATCTGCATGGTGGGTTATTTTTTTTGTTGTCTTTTTCCAGGTAAGAACTGTGTCTTGGCTGTAAGTATATAGGCTTATAGTTTAGTAACTAGGTAGGTATAGTACCTGCATCCTAAAAATTCTATATTGGTGAACAATTGCGCCAACGTCACTAACTCCGCCTCTTCAAAGTCGTCCTTGTGCTCAAGCATGAACATTCTTCGCACCTCCCACTGCTCCTCGGACTCGTGTTCGGAACGTAGTGAGTCCACATCAATAGAGGGTTTCATTATTTTTTACTGAAATCTGGAATACACAAGTTTTGTTTAGAAGATTTTAGGTTAGGTAGCTTAAAACGAGACAGCGTTGATACCAAGCGATTTAGGGGAAAAATTCTTCTCAAGTGAAAAAACTATCTACTTCTTACGTTGAACTGCTAAGCTTTTATTTTTGTAAATTTGTATTTTAAATTTAAATCAAATCAACAACACACAAATTTTTTTGACAGCACAGATTACAGCGATTATTTTTGACGGTGTCAGTCAGTGCTGCCATATATACAGATTTGTCCGTATCCATACGGAATTTTAACACAAACCGGGGGGCCAATCGCCTAACGGAAATGCTTTGGAAAACGCTAACGCTTACGATTTTATTTTGTTATTTCTAGCCGCCTGAGGTATTCAAATGCCTCGCGCTCTTTCTTTTTCTTTTGCATTGGTAATAACAATATTAAAAAAAATGAGCGTGAGGTATCTGAAAACCTCAGGCGGCTAGAAATAACAATATAAAATCGTAAGCGTTAGCGTTTCCCAAAGCATTTCCGTTAGGCGATTGGCCCCCGGATAATAAGAGAATTGACAAGTAACTGCAAACAGTACTTTATTAATATTTCTAATCCCAATTAAATGATTTTAATAAAACTAAACAATACAGGTTATTTAATCCTGCTTCAAAGCCAGCCATTTGTATTTTTTCATTCATATTTGGTTGGAAATCGTTTCTATTTTATAATTTCAATAAAAAAAAATGGTATTGATTCTGACAGGATTCCCTTATCCTAAATTTAATTTAATTATAATGTATCCTTGTACTACAGAATCAAAAGGTGAGATTTAAGTTAAATTTACTTTTAAGTTTAGAAAATCAAGCCAGAATCGATACCATTGACTTACTAAAAATAGAATACGTAACAACGTTTTTTAAAGATTATTCTTCTTTTCATAACAAATTTCTCGCAAATATTGTTCCTGTAGTGCTCTTAATCTTATCAATCAATTCATACGGATTTCATAAAAAAAATGCCATACGGATTTCATACTGATCTGGCAACACTGGTTATGTCAGTCAGTCTGCAGTCATTTTCTTATCAAGGCCAGTGCATTTTTTTTATGGGATTAGTATGTGTTTTATTCTTATTTGCAGGTATTTCTAAATAAATTCCGTATGAATTGTGTTCAAAATGATGTGAGTCCACCAAATATTGTCGATTTACATCACATTGGAAGTGTTTAAAGGTAAAAATTGACTTGTTTATTTAATGGACAGTTTTCTTTGTTGCTTTTGTCGATTTGTTTACAAATTACGTTTTCTTGTCTTTTAGCGTTGAAAATTATTATCGAAGCAATTCGAAACGATTTATAATCTTAATTGAGAGCTGGTGAACCGAAAATGGCGTTTTCTTTCCGTCGTATGTTATCCAATATAAATTATTTCAAGAAAAGTGGAGACGAGAACGTTTCTGATGTAGCTGGACTTGGTGACCACGAAAAAACGTTCGAAACATCTCATGGATCTCAAAACATTGACTTCGGTCGTGCCGAGCCTGATTCTACATCCAAACACTGTGCTACCAGTTTGAAATTGCCTGATTCTGTAAAAAATTTTGCCGCAAAAAAGGGTTCTTTGTCCGACACCGATGCCCTCCCAATAAATATTGATGCGCCAAATAAAAGGGAGAAAAGAAAATCCAAAAAGTTAAAAATCGACATCCAGAAGTGTAGTCCAACAATGGGTGACATCGACAGTAGTTCAAATAATGTTGAAAACACTCCAAAACATGTACTACTGGACAACAAAAGCACCGATTTGTTCAGCCAACATTTCAAAGGGATCGACATGAATCATTCCTTTGATATATTTGATGCTATGTCAAATTCATCATCTATATGTGAGGAGGACGAATTTGATATTGAGTCACTTAGTGATAGATCAGAGACCGACATTTCCTTAGAGTCCATTCACAAGGAGGAGGTTAAAATGTGTAGGAAAGTCGAACCATTTAGTGAAATACCAGACAACCAACTTGTGCCGTCAACTACTCCTGAATCATTTGGTGATGTTGAAGTGGAAAGGAATGAAGAGGAGAGAGTCACCCTGCTGCTCAACTATCAGATGAAATTGGAGAAGCTAGATTGTATTCTCAGGAAGCTTCTCTCAGAATTCAAGTTTCATATAGAGGTGTCCAAAGTTTTTCACTGTCGTTCAGTTGTGACTCCTCTACGGGGTACAGATGTCAAGAACATACCAAACACTTTGGGTGAAGTAACTTTCATTGATAATGTGAGTCGTGGAGTCAGTCCCACTGGATCATGGAATATAATCATGGAAAAAGGAGACGATGACATCAAAATAAAACTAAGAGACCAATTACTATCTATGATGCGTTATATTGGTGATTTCACAGAAATTTACTTGCGCAATCAAAATGAAAAGTTTACTAAATGCAAGAAGCTTACAAATCATAACCGTAAAAGTATTACATTTGATTTGTACAAAGGTAAGCGTCAGAAACGTTTTCGTATCAGCAACAAGAAAAAGTACAAACATTTCGATTTCCCTGATTTGCGTGATGCTTTCATTAACTTATTTGATCCTGATTCAGACGATTTTAACGCATCCCCCAATAATGTAACCAATATAAGTGATTATGATGATGCAGATAATTGTAAATGTGCATGCACATGTGGGCATCATAGGTCACCATCATCACAAACTGATTCAGGCTTGACTAATAAGAACGACAGATCAATGTCCAGCCAGTCAATAACATCTTCGATTGGCAACTTTAGCCTTGATACTTCAACGTTGACAGCTTACTCAGAGTCTCTAGATCTGATAGTGAGTTACAACAGCTTCCAAGACACAAGCTTGTACAGTACCCTGCTTCAAAAAGCGGCAATTGAAAGAATCACCTTCTATGTGCAAGTCCACAGCATTCAACTGAAATGTGAGACATCTGAATTAGAATTTGAATCAAAAAATGTGATAACTTTCTCATGCCCCGCTTGCAAAAGCATAGAGAACGAAGAAAATGGCCTTTTGAAACATATTCTGAGCCAAAGCCACTGCGAGAAGATCCATTTCCTTTACAAAACAGCTTATATTAAAAAATGTGTGTCAGCAGGTAAGGAGATAATGCCCAGCACTGTGTTGAATCCAATGAAAATGTACAGGGATGATAATAAAATTGTGTGTTTTGGTGACGCAATGTATGCCTGTTCTTTATGCTTTGAAAATTTGATTGTCGGTGAATCTATATTGATGGCACATTGTGCTGAACCAGAGCACATTGAGAGAAGGCAAATGCTTTGCGAGATGTTAGATTAGGGCATGTCAGCATGTTTATAATCCTTGTCATTAGTAAATGTTATTTTATCAACAAAAACTTGTTATGTCCATTTTGCAGTGCTTATGGTTTGTTACCTAAAAATAAAAGTAAAATGGTTTGCTGCAATTAAAAAAAATGGTAATTTTTCGTCCATTCCGCTTTAATGTTCGTAATTTTAATATCTTGAAACTTGTTCTAAAATGCTTGAGTATATAAATATCATTCAAATTTGGAATATTGTATGTTTTTTTTTTATGTAGCGAAATATATTGTAACGTTGTGACTTTACATAAAATCTGTCTTCTTTAGAGTGCATTTAATTATTAATGTTGTTAACAAATAATATTTTTCTATCTGTATGTGCAGAGAACTTACAAGTCTTTTTCACATAAACATAGCTGTTTTAAACACACTAATGGCAAGGATTGCTTACATATTATTTATTAACTAGAAAGTAGGTAATTAATTATTCTTAATCATGAATTACTGTTAGTTATTATATTATTAGCGCATCCAATTTCTGTATTTAAAAGTAAGTAGTGCCAATTCTCCATGTTTTGTTAAAAATAAAAACGGGTTCTTTTAATGTGAACTTTTAAAAAATACCATTTGTTGTGCAATAATCACGATGCGCTAACTAATAAGACTTCCTGTATTTTATCTGTGCCCTTTTTTTATGACTATATTCTATATTTATTTACTCTTTTTTACTATTTATATTTCCAGTTGATTTTTTCTGTATTGTTATGTATATTTGAACGTCTCTTTTTTATTCATAGAAAAAGTGACCAAATCATATCCTGTTGAATTAAAATGTTAGGAGAAAATTAGATATTGAAAAACATGATTGTGAGCTTTGAAGTTTCTTTTCGTTCATGTTAATAATATTTTATAACTGATTTTTTTTACTTGAAGGTAGCTTTTTAACTTAATAAATCTGGTTTTAACCCACTTTGTTGGAAACATTGTTAGGCAAATATCAAAAGTACCTATAAAAGGATGATTTGATAAAGTTAATCTACATTACTTTATATTAAAATTTTATTGTATTTATAAGAACTAAATAGAGTTAATCAGTGTTAACCTACTTACAAAAATATTGGCATGCAGGCATGCTTTCAACTACTTGAATTGTAAAATAATTAAATTATGTTTCTTAATTGCGATTTGCTATTCAATAATTAATTTACAAATGTACTGAATATGATATTGAGCATTCTTATTCAAAGAACAAAGAGGAACTTTTCTCACTTTCTCGCTCTAATCTCTTAAATACATTATCTCTATTTATACAAATGAGCATAAAAATGATTTCATCAAGATTCGATAAATATCTTCATACTTATGACTTGTGGCGGCAATGGTCGCATACCCCACTGCAGATGGCTATAATACTGCCTCGTCTTTTCATTATTTAGAGCATGCTAAGGATATATTGTTGTCGAATTTACGAATAGCAAAGATGAACAGCATACAAAATCTCTGATTTAAATATCAATCAGTGCGATTTCTATTTCTTTAATCCTTTGCTATAAAAAATATTTTGTGATAATGATGAATACAGTTCAACTGTACAACAGTTGGTATAGCGCAACCAAATCTGGTGCAAACCTGGGCTTCGATTCCCATTCTAGTCAATTTAGATGACAATCTTTTCAGTAATGTATGTTCGGGTAAAATTTCTATTTATTTTGGAATGAAATTAATTGTATTATTTAATAATAATTATTTGAAAAAAGAAAAGAAATGAAATAAACTGGAAAAAACAATATATCTAAAGAAAATTAATTTAGATCGTGTGTCAGGATTGTATCAGGCTATGTAGATGATCAAGACGATGAAACTTTTAAAACTTCAAAGCTCACACACGTTATTGGTGCTCACAGACTAAAAACAAAAACTGCCGTATATGTGCCGTCTAACAATACTTTATTAATACCGCTGTGTTCATTCAGACTAAATGTTCATATTGTATTCATTTTTATACTGTGAAAAAATAGGTAAGTGTTTCCTTTTTATTATTCATTATCAACAATTATGTAAGTAACATTATTGCCAAAACTTGCAATCCCTGGATTATGTATGGAAACATGCAGTTTTGGAATTATCCTTGTGCCTTCCATTTTAAACTGTTTCGTTCGAAAAACAAAGATAATATAGGTATTGTAGCTTCTTATTATTTTATAATGTAATGATTATTTTGTAGACATCTTACGTTGTAATGTTAAATCTAGGCTAAATCATTGTTGAAAATCTTGTTTTGTTGCTACTTTCTTAACTATACATAACTAATCATTCTTTTCTTTGTCTTATAATCCAGCTTCTTTGTAGTTAAATCTCTTTACAATCATAATACTGTCGGCTTAAGTCTAGACTAAGTAACGATATAAATAAAGTAAACATATTATACATATACGGAATAATCGTGATCTCAAAAAGCATTATAAATGAATGGATAAATTTTAAAATCTCAACCCAAAAGACTGATATTTCGAAGCCATTTCAAAAAGTTGGTTAGTGAATCAAAAGGGGTATGTCAAAAAATAAGAAATATGATCTCAAACAATAATAAAAATAGTTCGACAATACGTAGCAAATTACTATAAATACCAAATGAAATGTTAAGCTTTAAAACTCTTTGACATGCCTCCTTCATTTTCAGAATACGCAGCCGCCTATAAATTAGTAATTTAAGAAATGTAACTTAATGTTTAAGAAAAAATGTAGGTACTAGTGTTATAAATACTTAAGTACAGGTAATTTAGCATTTGTGCAGCCATAACAGATGCTTGAAATATTGCATAGAAATATAAATATTAAATGGGAGATAGTAAAAAGAAAGAAACATTACTTTTCAACTACTTGTTCAAAGTTCTTGACAACAAAAAGTGTTAATGGTTACGAAATTAATTACTTAAAAAATATATTATACATATCTGATCTGTTATTTGAATAAGTTTTATTTTTATGAATTTATTAATATCTCCTCTTTCAAATTTCTAAAACCAATGTTTGTTGTAAACAATAGTGCAATAAAAAAATACCAGTTTAGAATAAATTTACAACTGTTTTTAAATTAGACAATAGGACTGCGAAAATATACATTCCATTTCAAACAGTACTGTATGTAAGTTAACGATCATGTATGTTTATTGTAGTAATTATAAGTAGTATCGCTTATATAACGCATGTAATCTCTTATCTATAATACTTTAACGATAGAGTTGTGTGGGAAGATTTTTTATACCGATAAATTATGTTTTTATTAAATATCATATTTAATATTCGTTAAATAACAACGTTGTATTACATTTCATAAAAAAGTAATAATTTTTATTTTAAGTTTTATATTCAGTAATTATTTATTTTGTTATTAACACTTCTCTATAGCTTTGTGAATGACAAAAAATACAAAAAAAATATTTTGTGATAAAAAGTCATTCGCGTTAGTTAAAGTATTAAATAATAATAAAAAAACGCAAAAAAAATTAGCGCGTAATATTTCTTACATGTAAGCGTATAATGAATGACCTTTGTCAAATCAGTACTGTAAGAAAAAAGGAAATTCTAATTTTTGTAATTGCCTGAAAAATATCACTTTTGGTAAGTATACCACTTTTTGTGAATAAAAAATAAACTCAAAATATCAATTTTAGCTTAAATGTAAAAATTTAATAGTGTTCATAAGCTGATCTGATTTAGGTTCTACCAACCCAGTTAAATGTAGTAACTTTAACAATAAACATTTTGAAAATTAAATGCAAAATTTCCATCATACTTGAAGTGAAACATATAACATGGCTAAAAGAATAATATATTTCGCGCACAAAAGGGTACTCCTAGGATAACAAAAATACTGTGATCGTACTGTTATTTCAGAAAATTGTTGTTGAAAATAGTATTTAATATAATGGTTTGGCGACTATAAAACACTAACTAATATTCTTCCTTTTAATGTTTTTATTTTTTAATCGGTAATAAATTTTAGTAAAAAAAGGTGACACTAAAAGAACCCAATTTGAAGAAATTATGAATACATTTCTTTTCTATAAATTTTATAACTTTTTTCTTTTGACGTTATATTTCTTGACAAAGACTGTTTTACAAAGACTGCTTTTATTTTCATTTGACTATTTTCCTTTCTTCAAGATTTATACAGTCGCCAAGCCAGTCGGCCATTCGGTTAATGTCTGTGATCCACAAATTCGTGTTCATTATAAAATTGATGTTGCAATATAGTTTCAGATACGACTACAAAACAAATCATTTTATTTCCTATTGTGTCTATGTACTAGATATTGCCGATTTGTTTAACATAAATACTAAGGTCACCCGGGGCAAATGTAGCAAGGGGGCAAATGTAACTATTTGAAGAACTCGTTACTGTTTAGTTTTTAAAATAAGATATCTGTGGCTCTCTTAAATTACCTTTATTGATTTAAATTTAAATAGATTTCGCAATTAACGCGTAAACTGTTATTTAAATAATATTTTTTTTACTTTTTAATCGACTGGAATTTAGAAAATATTAGAAGGTGTTTTACAGTGTATCGCGAAATTATTAACGGATAGTCACTTTTCATTAATTTTGTTCATACGCTCAGTTAAGTCAAGTTTCATGAGTCCGTTACATTTGCCCCTTCCAAAATTGTAAATGGGGTAATTTTAGCATTTTTGTTATATGGTAATGAAAAATACCAGTGATGTTATGGTGTCGGCAGTAATGTTCAAAAGTCAATATATTTATGCACATATCGAACTACATGGCCCAACACTAATGTAAATGGAAAAAGATACATACACAAAATAACTAAATTATTTCATATATGTACTTATTTAATATCTTTAATATTTGTTGAAATAAATTTTCATCAGTTGAATTGCAATGTCGCCTTTTTAGACTGAAGAGCTGCTTGTGTATGTAAAAAATAGTAGTACATATACACCGTGTTCATGAGGATATACATAAACTTTGAATAATACTTCTACAGCTCTTGTTGAACACATCGTACAAAGAAAGTAGTAGTTTAAATAGCATAGTTTTTAAGTTATTGGTAATTTAAGTTTAACCAACTTAATTGTGTTGTTCAGTGAGAATGATTCTTTATCTGTGAGATGTTGCCACTTTGTGCATCCAAAAATATCAAACTATCAACTCTTTGTCAATGGTCATTAAGTCATAGTTTCAAAAGTCAAAATTTTTAAAAACATTGTTGACGTCTTGAAAAGTTTAAAAAAATTTATGAAGGCATGTGAACCAAGGTTTCAAATGCAACGTTGCCAGCTCAGGTAAAGAGTAATTCATATTAGATAAATTACATCTAAGCATTTAGTTTGTATGAAAATAAAAAATGATAAAAAAAAAGGAATTCATAAAAGTATCCATAGTAAAAAATGATCAATGTAATGGTCTGAATAACATGCCAAAGTTAGTGTATAACCTCAGGAACACGGTGTATATTATGTCCGGAGTCCACATTCAACTTGCTACGCTCCACAGATAAAATGTAAAAGTATTAAAATGATAAAATTTGAATAAATATTGTGTCGTCGCTGAAACTGTTGCGCCTCGTCTGTTGATTTTTTTGACTGTTGATGCTTATTCAGTTTTCGGTTTTAAATACACTGTTTTTCGACAGAATAAATCGTGTGCAGTTTGGATGTTCTTTGTTTTATTTTCTACGAACACGTTGTATGAAAAGTGATTTTCTGACTGAGAGTGAAATTCTGTAATAAAATTTACCTACTTTTTTGACGACCTCCGTGGCCGAGTGTTAGTACGCCGGGTTTCATGTTGTCGCCATCTCGAGAGGTCCCGGGTTCGAATCCTGGTGGAGGCAGATTTTTGTGTGATGAATATGAGCATTTGTACTCCAGTCATGGATGTTATTCTCCATCTCCATCTTATATATTTCTATATAAATATACTTATATATGTTT